GGCTTTTCCAGGTGTGCAGCCCGCGGGCCGCTGCCCCGCAGCCATGCCCGTGGACCTGGCTGTGCGGCTCTGCCTGAGCCACTCGCCCCCCATCCGCAAGCTGCTGAACTCCTACGAGGAGCTGCGGGGCAACCGGGGGCGCAAACCCCTCCGGTCCTGTCTCAACCAGAAGCTGAGCGCAGAACCTGAACCCGAGCGACGAGATAGCACCAAGAACTCCAAGGGCCAGAAGGAGAAGAGAGTCGTGTTTGCTGACACGAAGGGGGTCTCGCTGACAGCTGTCCGCTTCTTCTCAAAGATCGAGGAGGAGCTCTCTGACTTGCAGCATGCCCTGTCTGACCTTGCCTGCTTCCGACCTAGGCTGCGGGATTCACGACCAGAAGTGTGCAAGTACGTGCTGGACTTCCCACAGCCCTCTGCGGACTACGTGACTTTCCGCAGCCGCCTGCACAGCAACCTCGTCTGCCTGGAGAACTGCCTGATCCAGGACCGTGCCCTGTCAGGGACAGTGAAGGTCAGAAACATTGCGTACGAGAAGAAAGTGACGGTCCGCATCACCTTCGACGGCTGGAAGAGCTTCCGGGACATCTCCTGCCAGTACATGCATAGCACGTACAGCTCAGCCGACACAGATACCTTCTCTTTTGAGCTCGCCCTGCCAAAGCCATCTGTCTGCCAGAGGGCCACGGAGTTCTGCATCTCCTTCCAGTGTGGACAGAAGACCCACTGGGACAACAACCACGGGAGGAACTACAAGATCTGCCCTGTGGGCATGATCCGCCCTCCCTCGCACGCTGTGAAGAATGCCAACAGGGCCTGGGAGCATCTCGGCACCTCTCGGGCTGCCGCCCTGGTCCTGTCTCACCTGCAGACCTGGCGGTGCTCAGAGGCCCAGGCTCCTTATTGGTAGGAAAGCGGCGTGGGGAGAGGTGTAGGTCCCTTCCGTGTCCTGGCTGTGGTACAGGGGTACCCTGGGGAGGGGTCAGCTGTGGAAGATGCTGCTCACAGCTTTGTTAGCTCCTCCAT